CGTAAATGTCATCATTTATGGTGGCCTGCTATTATATAAGTGTCCAGACTTCCTACTTATCTTGCTCCTCCTATTACTATCAGCATTGTAACACTGCACCGATGGGGGCAAGTTGGTGGCTCATTAAAACCACCCGAAAGTTGTAGGTTACGTAAACTTGCAACTTACAAATGTTGTAAAGCCATCTGTAAGTTGTAAGTTACTGTAAACTCAAAAAACATTATACGCCCATTTCAATCGTTTCACACGGCTATACCACGAGCCAGGTTAGCCACAACATATTATCAAATTACCTGAAGAGCTACCTCTGTATTTGCTAGATCAACTATTGGTTGAGCTGTTTCCCGAACTGCTGAAATTGTAAAAAAATTAAATTAATATGTCGCCAGGACTTTTTCGTTGTTAATAAAGGATTATTCGTAATTAGCAAGCAACAACGTACACGTGTCATGTTCCTCAAGCCGTTCCATTGGTATTGATGTTGTAGGATATGATTGATAATTTGGTTCTTTGGAAGTTGTTGGCCAAATGCTTGCTGGAATCTACTCTCAAGTCTATCTTTAACGTATAGCAGCACACTTCAATGGACTTACAAGCACCGAATTTGCCCACGTTGTACGACTCTCGAGCTGTATCCTGGTAATGACCCTGGTTTAGTGATTGGAGCGACCTCATAGCAAGTGGATCCACACTGCTTGTGGCTTGTGACTGATCTGGCGTCGCTGTCACTCCAGTTTGGAAATTATGTTTGGTATCATATTGACTGTTTTCTTGTTCGTTAATCGAGTTATCTTCTCTGTTATCTTGAGATGGAAATGACGCATGTTGATTGTAATAATTCTCTGCATATCGTTCATTAATGTTCTCGAAAGTGCTATTCTGTGGTGGGGAAGTCACTCGACATTGAGCCACATCGTTTTCTCTAAATGATAAGTTTTACATGGAAATTCTCATGAGTACAACTTTTGTTGTTGCTGTCCTGTTTTGACTTCGATGAAAGGGGATGGGATGAACATGAACTTTTCCAAGTAATTTTAGTGTATAATCAAATTGAGCGGGAATTTATATATTCCAAAATCTCACGATATGACTCTGTATGTTAGGGCTTCCTCGCAACTCATTGGCAGCTTGAATTGATCTGCATTATCTGAACACATTGTTGTTTAAGAGAAGTTAAAAGAAGTAGTCTTTTACCTGGTGCTAATGACGTTTGCTCCTTCTGGGTATTCTGTCGATTTGATAAGGGTTTACCTTAACAAAAAAGGCCAATGTAAAAGTATAAACTTGTGTTTATGAAGAACCGTAAACCTTGTAAACTTCAGGTACCTACAGTCTAAGCGTATGTGCTAGAACATTTGCTGTTCTAAATTGTGATGTTTGAACTTGTTAGCTCCGTGTTGTGTCCTACATTCTTCACCAAAGCCGACTAGACCTCTAGAAGATGAGAAAAAAGGCGCTCGTCATGATTGCTTTGCCAACGTATGCTTATATGATTGCATGACTGGTTATATGGTGGCTTGTCACTTAGAGAAGAACACTGAAAGCCCTCTTGAAGCATGGGCCGGCTTGAGCAAGCCAACAATTTCCAATTACGGGCTATCATGGATAGCCCGTAATTCGAAATAGTTGGCTTGATAGGATAAGGGCTGTTACCCCCTCTCTCCTATCTCCGCTAGCAAAGAAGGGCGGCATGCGGGTTGGACAAGTAATTGATGCCAACCAAGATGACAGCAAGATATCCTTACGACTGGCCAATCAGATTGCACAGTCTAACGGGTACCCTAACTCAGGCGAACGTGC